ACCCCAAACACGGATTTCACCTGCAGCCACAAGACGTTTCTTCTGTCTCATTGTGGTGCAAGTCTGTTTTTGCCTCAGCTGCACTGTGAGATGAAAGCAAACGTTCAGCATTCTCATTGCAATGTTGCAAAGAAAAACAAACACTTAATAGATTTTGCTAAAGCAATGTGAAGCAGACACATTATGGTTTATGTCTTTGTTTTTGCAGCTTGAGATGGTCAGAGGACAACAAAAACATGATCTTTCACCAGTGTTCACACTCTTGTCACCAACATTTTTACTGTGTGTGTGTGTGTGTGTGTGTGTGTGTGTGTGTGTGTGTGTGTGTGTGTGTGTGTGTGTGTGTGTGTGTGACATAAAGAAGAGGCTTTAAAGCACAACTTTCTGTGGAGTGTCTTTGAAGTTGCTTTGGCTCAGGTTTTGCATCTAATAATGGGAGAGGAAAACCTTGCAGCAGGGAGGTTTGCACTTTTTTATGAAAATATTTATTTATTTAATAATGCAATCTGTGTTTTTTATTTATGAAAGAAGTTTAAAATTAAGACCCGTCACCTCTGTGTGCGCCTGTCAGACGCTGTAGTCGCATAGAGTGGAATGAAGGGCGGCACGAGTTTGATGAGATTTATCTCCACATCCAAATGTATGTGTGTGTTTGTATGTGTGTGTGGTGGGGGTGCAGAGGGGCACATGCCCTCCCTGCATTTAGAGCAACCTGACAATCAAGGAAGGGACACCGTGCTAGGATGTATACAAACGTGAAATAAAGGCGTGATCTGGGAAACCACACAGTCAAAGCTCTTCACGAGGAAGCCTATTAGACACAGAGGAAACTCCACAGGAGCCTTTTGTGTCTGGAACAAGAATGATGCTCTAGTAGTTTCCATAAAAACATTTTTTTTAAATATGTTTTTCTTTTCACTCTTCAAAAATCGTTCAGTTTCTCGTGAACTAAATGGGACAATGCAGGACTTGCCGTGCAACTGAGAGAGAAATGAGGGCGTACTTACTTTAAACATGAAGTTATATAAGCTGATTAGAAGCAGTAGCATATGTAGCAAGTATGAAGTCTGCTAGAAGGACCCACAACAAAGAGACATTAGAAAACGCCACAGTGTAGCTTTGGAATGCACCAAACTGTTAACAGGAGGGACAAGCTACAACCACCATGGCCGCTACCGCCACTGATGTGAGACGTCGTGAGACAGATGTTGCAAATACGAGTAGATACAACCCAGTTCTGGTGCAACACCTGCAATTCGTCTGATGATGTGGGCGTTTAAGGGCGATATTCAGGAGACCACAAAGCTTGCGCAGCAGTTGTGTGCAATTTGTCTTTATAGCTGAACCCACCCTTACTGTTGTTGATTTAGCATCCAGGAAAGAGCAAAGCACGTCTCAGCTAGTAGAAGCTAACTGTTAGCATTAGCAACTCCTCAACATGGCAGAGCCCCTTCAGGCTTGTTGTATTAGTGGAGATTAAACATCCATGCTGCAGAGTGAATGGAGGCAGTGGTTGAGTCACGTTGCTGTTAGCCAATCAGAGGTGAGACGTTCAAATCTCATGAATAATAATGAGATAACTTCTACTTCCTGTGAGAGTATGGGAGCCTTTTTACTCTAAGAATGACTCACGAGGTATTCATTCACCACAGCAGATTTATTGAGATAACAAGTGTAGGCCATAGGCGTCTTTAGACCATTTTTGTGGTTGCTCACCTTTGGAGGAATGCACCCCCCCCCACCCCCACCCCCACCCCCTCTGACAGAGATCAGAGTTTCCAGCACTCCTAAACCCGCTGTCCTGAAATTGCTTCTGGTGTAGACCCTCTTTAAATAAAAACAACTTACAGATGACCCAGTCCTCCTGCAGTAGTCCTCTTCAGAGCTGTCAGAGCAGGAGATGTTGAGCCCTGTGGGTTCAGATGGAAGGTAGTCGCTTGTTTCCTTACTGAGTTGGGACCGCTGATTTTCATTCTTTATCCAGTCACACAGATCCTGCCTCACCACACACCCACTTTTTTTTGTTGCCATTCTGCATCTCACTTTGTCACCGAGTTATGACCTCACACAGTTTAGTCCCTGATGTGACTAGAGGTGAAGGCCTTGGACTTGACGGCCCTCCAGAAACAGCAGAGGAGGTTTAAGCTGAGAAATTCTCATGATCAACACTAAAGGTATGCCCCCTGCCTCTTGGAACGACACTGCCACAGCCGTCTCCTTTCTCCCTGTGCAGATCAGTGTTTTCAGGACCCCGGACAGCTCCACAGTGGAGAAGGAGCTCTTCCACCCGCAGCGGAGGAAAGACGGTGGATTTAGGTTCTAACAAACAGACCTAACCGAGAGCTGGTGCCTTCTCCGTGTGTCCTGCTGCAGCTGACTGGAGCTGATGCGCATCGGAGAAGCTGCAACTTGGTTTAGACAAAGTCATTTTGAGTATGCTGCTGTTGATTTAAGACCCATGTTTGCTTGGACCTTTTTGTGTAGTGTTTTTTGTTATAGTGCTGACTAGATTTTTCTGATTCTTGGTTAACTTCCTCTTGTCTTTTAAGGAAGTGTGGTGTTGAATATGGTTAAAAACTGACTCTGTGGTACTGGCTGGCTGGTCGTTTAATTTAAGTAGATTTCCTTTTTGTTATCTACAGAAGATGGTTTGGGTAAAACCCCATTGTCCCCTGGAAGGGTTATTTTCTGTTTCCTTTTCCCTGTAACTTTTCATGGTCTCCCAATCAGAAAGTTTTAAGGTCTTTTATTCTGGCGAGCCTCAGCGTCTACCTTTTAGTTTGAGTTACTATTGATGGTCGTTTCCCTCCAAAAGTCCCCAAAATGAAACCATTTTCCTTCAACAACCTCCAACCTCCCAGAGGAGCCACATCTGGGTCATAACTCTGGTGTAAATTCTGTTCAGCACTGACAAAAATGTCACACTGGATGCTACAAGAGCGATTCTCAAAGTGTTGACAGTGTCATAAATGCTGATACAACACAGGAAAAAGCATCTCATTAGTTCTCTGAGACATGTTGAGGTGTGTAACCATGTTGAAATGGCTCTTCGTGTACAGTGGAGGACACTCTTTAGATTCCTCTGATGTTGAAACTGCTGATGGTTTAACCTTCAAACACATCAAACTTTTTGTTTGACTCAAAGTGTCCTGAAATAGCCAGAGAAGATCACATCAGCAAAACCGGATCAGCAGATCCAGACTAGCTCACCGGACCAAAATAAAAAAGTGTCTCTTCTTTTCTAAACTGTTATAAATGGGTTTTTTTGTACTTGTATGTTGATTTTAAGATGTTTTTAGACTCATACTGGGCAGAGGCAGGTGCCATTAAATAGATTCACTTGGATCGTTTTCATGTGCTAAATTAAATCTGAGAGAGCGAAGAAACTCAAGGACACACACAGTGCTACACAGCAAGAGTTTGATGAACATGATGTTATTTTTTAATTTTTTTCATGACAAAACGTTGGACTCGAGTTTGAGGCCAGTGCTAATATTTAAATACATTTTATTTTAACTTTAGTTTCTTTCTATCAAGAGGGGCTGACATTGAGATCGTTGAGGACTACCGGTACCTGGGTGTACACTTGGACTGGACTAAGAACATCAATGCTATCTTCAAAAAAGGGCAGAGTCGGCTTTTTCTTCTGAGGCGGCTCAGGTCCTTCAATGTTGGTAGGAAAATGCTGACCATGTTCTATCACTCGGTGTTGGAGAGCGTTGTGTTCTTTGCAGCTGTGTGCTGGGGCAGTGGGCTGAAGATAGCTGATGCCAACCGGCTGAACAAGCTGATTAGAAGGGCTGGGTCTGTCCTGGGTGTTAGACTGGAGAACCTGGAGGAGGTGTCTGAGAGGAGAATGCTAAAAAAGCTTCTCTCTATCATGGACAACCCCTCCCACCCCATGCACGCCCACATGATGGGCCATCGAAGCACACGCAGCAAAAGACTCATTGCCCCGAAATGCAGAACTGACCGCCACAGGAAATCCTTCGTACCGGTGGCAATAGGATTGTTTAACTCTTCCTCACCCTGTAGGTGATTCTCCAAATACTGTTACCTAGGTTACTCTGTGCCCTCACCGACTGTGCAATATTACCCAAGAGTTCTGATTGTAAAAATGTTTTTATCCCCCCATCATATCATACGCTGCTACTAACCCATATTCTATTACACAATACTTTAATCACTTTTGTGAATCGCCTGCACCGACGGCTTAATTACTTATTCACAAGGATGCAGTCATGTATTTAATTATTGAGAAATGCGATTGTTTGTTTTGCACTATCCTACAGGGTACTACTGTAGATCTTTTTTTTACTGTATATATTGTATATCATATTTCTATTTCACCTGTTCCTTTGTTTCTCCGACTGCTTTGAGCATGTACATGACACAAGAATTTCCCTCGGGATAAATAAAGTTGTTCTTATCTTATCTTATCTTATCTTATTAAACACAGGAAACGTTGACAGAAAGCTTGTTTTCCTCCAAGTTGAATAAACGAGCCTGAATATTTGTACCGTGGAGCGATCACAGCTAGAAGGTTTGTCTAAAAGATCAAATCCATGAATGTTATGTTAATACGTAACTCATAGTAGACCCTGCAAAGGAATGTTTTTTTATGTTATATTTTTATTTTTGCTGAAACAACTTTTATTCTAAAATTAACAGCAGTGGAAAGATTTCAGCCCCAGGTGCTCCGCCCACAAAGATCACCCTCTGTGCGTAGGTCACCAAGTGGCCAGGGCGGCACAAACCAATCAGGTCTATTAAAAAATTAACTTTGCACCTGCCAGCACTCCCCGTCTTTGGCATTTAAAGCATACGTTTATGTACAATTTTGTTTTTGGTTTCTTTGTCTTCATTTTTTCTACTAAAGCAGTCATTCTGAACTTTTTGTTGCATTTTGTTCTTGTTGTAGAACCCACTCCAACACAAGAAGGCAGCTGTTTCCATAGCATATGTGAATAAAGGAACATAGGATTTACCCAAGACAGAAAGCAGTTTAAGGAAGGCAATTTTATTGTGCTCATTTTAAGTTTTCAACAAAGAAAAGAAATAGAACGCTTCTGAGAGGGAGAGCCAATGGCGAAGCATTGTCCTCTCTCCTCCAGCTCTTTCTTCCTTTCCTTTCGAGTCGATCACCAGAAGAAGCGTCCACCGAGGTTTTTCTTGCAGCATGCTTCGTTGCTGTGTCTGTCAAAAGTCCCTCCGTTTATTTCCTCTTTCTAAGCGTTGCTGTTTCGGAAACAGATGTTCGGCACGGCTGACTGTGGTCGCTGTAGATGGGTTGTTTCATCCACGCTCTTGTTGGCGTTTGTTGTGGAGGACCCATGCTACTCGCTGACAAATCCAGACCGATGCTGTTCATAAACAGAATTCTTTTTAAAAAGAGCAAAAAAATAAAAATAAACATAATTTAATATATCGCTACATTTATATAACCTTTACTCAGAGAATGCTCAAGTGAGGCTTAAGAATCAAGCAACTAGAAAATTGCTGTCAGGAAAGTACAAGTTTATTTTTTATTTAATTTTTTTTTTTGTATTTTTACTTTTGAAACCAATGCTGAAGTTAAAAATATGAAAGAAAATTAAATGTTTTAAGGCTGTTGTTTAGTTAAAGCCACAATCTGGGCATATAATGCACAACCAAGCACAGCTCAACAGTTTTCTGTTCGATAACGGTTGGACTGTTAGAGAAACCATGTCATAGCTGCTGCAGCATAAAGAGAGAAAACAACTTCTTGTCTACACAAATGATGTGCTTTGCTGTGCTACAAATAATGGGGATTTCTATAACCCGCGATTATGGCTTTAACCAGGATTAATGAGCTTTCTGGACTCAGCAGAGAAAACGATTATTTTACAGTGTTTCAGTTCAACGATGAACCCTTTATTGTTTACCTGCCTTCTTGTTTTATTGTTGTTCATGGTTGGAGTCAATTTTATTTCAAACCAGAAAGTGATAGCAATGTACTCTGCATCTTTATTAAGAAGTACAAATTATACTATGTAATGGGAATACTACAGGCTTAACTAGAAAACCTGCTGAATTGAAATTCCCTTGACTCCATCCTTGGATGACGGTCTTCTTACAGATGATGAAGCAAAGTTTTGGGTGGACTATTGAATCATGTGACACATGACCATGTCCGGTGATTAAAACCTGCCGATACTTTAGATATAGTACAACTCATCTCACCACACAAATGCTAGTAATTACGTTTTACTATGACATTTTTCATATAAAACTCCTTAGTTAATACTTAATGAAAAAAATAAAATAAAACAGCTGCAGTGACCGTTTGGTCTTTTGCGGCACTGCTCCCTTTCCCCCAATAGCATCAGTTTGGTCATGATTAAATGTGATAGAAATACAATAATAATTCTGTCATTCTGACTAGGAGAAAAGATCAGAAAACAAAACTGTTTTGCTTCTATATCAGAATCCTGCTGCAAAACAGAATACATTCATTTTTTGTTTGCATGTATGAGCACGAGTATGACTGGATGTGTGTTCGAATGTGGAAAGGCCCCCTTCACACTGGACTAAGACCCTGCCATAATGTAAAAAACTATAAAAAAAATATTTTTCAAATTAAAACAATGAAAAGTGGGTGGTCTTTATGGAGTCTTGGTGAGGGTTATTAAGAACAAGGGCACCACATGCACAAACCTTCCAATATGTTTATGTTTATGTTTATTTATTTGGCAGACGCTTTTATCCAAAGCGACTTACAATTTATAACCTATAGGGCGTGTTGTGATCTGTGGGGGAAACCGGAGTACCCGGAGGAAACCCACGCATGCATGGGGAGAACACGCAACTCCACGCAGAAAGGCCGCAGCCGAGTTTTGAACCTGCAACTTTCGTGCTGCGAGGCAACAGTGCTGACAACTGCGCCACCATGCCCAGTAGTTGCATTCATGTTGGGCATGGCTTCACCTCATCATGTCATCAGTGTCGTGCTGGATCGGTGCGACCTTTTAGCTGCATCCTAATGCTGTCTGAAAGCTTCATGCCAGGACAGCACTGGGCCGGCAGCACACCGTGTGTGACTGAACACACGCTCTGAAAAGTGAAATGTCGATTTTACTTAACCAAGTTAAGCCAACTGGTTCCACTAAACCTATTGCTTAAGAAGAAGAAACAATCTGATGCATAGCACCTCTCAAGCTAAAAGTGTTATAAAATAATTGAGAACCACTGGTCTAATGGCACAGTGGTGCAGTGGTTAGTGCTGTTGTCTTGCAGCAAGGACGTCCTGGGTTCACATCCCGGCATGGGTTCTTCCTGTGCCTGCGTGGGTTCTCTCCGCCCTGGCTTCCTCCATAGAACAAAAACATGACTGTCGGGTTAATTGGTTCTCTAAATTGTCCATAGGTGTGTGTTTGTGTGTGTGTGTCTGTGTTGCCCTGCGATAGACTGGCAACCTGTTCAGGGTGTACCCCGCCTACTTGCCTGAAGACAGCTAGAGATAGACACCAGTGCCCCTGCGACCCTGCATGGACAAGTGAGTATGAGAAGTGGATGGATGGTTTGATGGAACCAGCTGACATTACTTTGTTAATTCAACGTTTCCTTTCTTTGAGTGTAGTAGGATCGTCATGAGCACGATACAAGCATATAGATAATAATTTGGCAGGTGCTAATGCAGCACCAACATGACTGGCTTCATTCTGAAGGCTTTCCACATCTGTCATAAATCCACCGTTTATCACTTCAAGGTGAGAGGAGCAGGATCTCAATCGAGTTATAAGCAGTCTGAACTGTAAGAGTGATGGTGGGCCTAAAGCTGGGTCCTGCTAGGACAGAACGGGGGGGTCAAGAGTAATTTTACTACCACAGTACTTTGGTCTTAGAAATGATTTGAGAATATAAAGGACTCAGTGAGCCACTGATAGTGAATCTTCTTGTGCAAATTGTCGTACGGTTTGGCAAGCTGATGTGTATCAATGTAATGCAGAAGAGCTCTGTAAAATGGAGATATCTTAAAAACAATTAAAAATACTTGTGATGTATCAAGTTGGCACTATGGCACCACAGTGGAACCAGAGGAGTCCAAAAAAACAAACAAAACCCTGGGAAGGTGATGAAACGCTGATAAAACACAGTGGAGCCTGCAGCGCGTCGAAAAGTTTTAGTTCTTTCTCTAAAGGTCGTTTTATGATTTTGAACAGTGCATTTACGCTTCCCCTCTGGGAATTCGACACATTCGTTTGAAGATCAGGACATTTAGTTTGTTTTCAAAATCAAAAACGTACCAGTTTGAGTGAGCAGGTAGGTAACTTACGTCGGACTGAGGTCTCTGAAAAGTCTGAAAGGTTCCAAAACATTTGATACAAACAAAACAGTCACCTCTGTTGCAAATATAGAACTTTTCTGTTCGTCTGTGCTGCGTCCAATCTCCAGGATGAGGAGTATGTGTAGCGGAGGTTCACCAAGAGAAAAGGCTGGCTTGTTTTTGGCTCAAAAGAGAGAGCACATTCCTCTTGGTGGAGAAGAAGGACTCAAACGTTGGAGTCGGAGAGTTTGTCACATACTTTTCCCAGCTGAGAGGCTCAAAACAGTCAAAAAACACGGTCACACAATATAGCCATGCCATATTCAAATGACAAAATATTAATAATGATGAGGACCATAAGAATAATAAGAAGATAATAAGAATAATGAGTTATAATAACATAATATACTTTGTTTTGTTATTTTTTGAAATCCTGAATATAAAAACAGTGGTGAGAAGAGGTTAGTACACAGTAGGGCTCTACTACCCCCTCGGTTGATTTGGCACATTATCACTCCCTGTTAGAAGCTACCTACATAATCTCAGCACAGTTAAAGATTTCTGTTTCCTGGTGACCCACCCAGAATGAAGTCTTTTCGATGTTTTTTTAATTCCTGAAATCACAGAGTCTTTTAAAATCTTCAGGCTGCATTTGAAATAAACAACAACCCGTGCAGCAGAGCAGTTCCCAGTAGGTTACCATCACGAGGAGGGCTCTGTGTGGGTGAACTTAATCTGCACCGGTCTAGTTGTAGTGATGAAAAGCATCACCCGGCTGTTCCGGGTGGGTTTTCCAACGACATTTAAGGTTTCTATTTGTAATTTTGTTTCTATTCTTATTCATTCAGAACTTAGCTACAAACGTCTGAGCTAGAATTTCCATTTTGTTACAAAAAAGTTACTCAGTCTCAATAAGTTACGTAATTCTTTTGTTCAAAGTAATATATTTGTTTGGTCCTCATCCATGTCCTGGGAGGAAAAGGCTTAGTTTGTGTCAAGTACGAGCCTGGTGTGTGTGTGTGTGTGTGTGTGTGTGTGTGTGTGTGTGTGTGTGTGTGTGTGTGTGTGTGTGTGTGTGTGTGTGTATTTACAAGCTCTTTAATGAACACGTCAGTGTGTGAGTGTATCAATAGGTAATGTCTCGATTGTCCAGGATCAAGGAGTTTGGGGTCTTCGTGCGAGTTTAGGCTTTATGTTGGGCCGACACACCCTTCCAGTAGTCCAGTATGTCATGAAGGTCTTCATCCTTGGCAAACTGAACTTTTCGCCTCAGTGCGTGTCCAGCTGCCACGTATCCCTCATCCTCCAAGGAGGCCTGCCGGTGCCTCTTCCGGTGCAGTTTGAACCTCTCCCAGAGCCCTAGGGTAGGGGTACATAAGAGCCCTTCTTCCTCCTCCTCATCTTCCTCAGGACTAGAGCAGTAACTAAGGTTGTGATATTGGGGTGAGAGTGGGTAATGAGGTGAAAGCTGGGAGTAGGCCAACTCACGCTGCTTGGCTTGCCGGCTAAGAGTGAGGGGGTCTAACACAGAGGGTCTGCGGCCTCCAGGGTGGTGATGGAGCTCCTGTAGGATCGGTGGGTGCTGCAGCTCCTGGAGGTGCTGCTGGGAACCTGGATAGGAGTGGCGGTGCTCGTTGTACTGGCGGATTCGCTGAGCCTCAGCCCGTAAGATTGCGGCAGCCGGGTTGACGGTACGAATGGCATCTCCGCCACCTCCTCTTTCCCCAGGTGAGTTTCTCTCTATGTACCTGGACTCCGATGAGTGGTACCCTCCCTCTGAGCGGAAGGAGCGAGGACTTCGGGCCGAGCCAGGGGAAGAGGAGGTGCTTGGTCTTTTGGAGGTAGGAGGAGCTTCCATGCTATGGTGTCGTTGCAACGTGTGATGGTAATTCCTCCCCCTTTCTTCTCGCCCTCCCCTTCCTCCTTGGTACACCGGGGAAAGAAACTCCCCCCCTCGTTCTCCTTGTTCAGACAGGAGAACAAGCTGTGGCTCCTCATTTGAAACAGCTCCTCCACTTACAGAAGAGGGGGATTTCATTCCCTGCTGAAAGGAGGTGGACTCAGACTTGAGAGCATCTATACAGTTGTTAATTATCTGATTAACTTTATCAACTTCTTTAGCGATGGTGGAGATCTCCGCTACCGAGCCCTGCGGGTTTGCTTGTGGTGACATCTCCCTTTCTCTCTCTCTTTCCCTCTCTTTTTCAATACCAGAGCTTCTAACCTCCATGTAGTTGAGCTTGGCAGACTTGTGCCCCGGTGTTTCTATCACCTCCTGGAGCTTGTATGGATCTATCTCACTGCCCTGGGGCAAGTAAGGCATTCTGGACAGACTGTCCCCCGCAGCAAGCTTCTGTGAGACCGATCCGCCGCTCCCTCCCTCTATGTCTCCTTCACCTCCGTACTTGAGCTCTATCAGAGTCCTCTGGATCCTACTCATCTTTCTCTCCTTCTCCTCCATGATCCTTCTTTTCCTCAGGCAGTGGACAAGAAGGCCAAGGAAGAGCAGCATGCCAAACAGACATCCCAGAATAGTCATGATGTAGTGTGTGGCAGACGACGGATTGGTTACCGTCTCAGCTCCGGCTCTGCGGCCGGTGGAGATGGTCAGGCAGGTGTGGTTGAAGCGTAGAGAGTTTCTTATAGAAGCCACGCAGTATGTGTAGTCAGTGTTGGGTTTAAGGTTCTTTAGTTCAATGTCTTCTCTTTGATTTCTTAGATTCTGGATGTCAGTGAAGAAGCTGTTGTTATAAAGCATGAGTATGTACATCTTTTTATACGGGTGGGGAATCTGAACTGTTACCACCGCACTCGAGTGTTGAACCTGTTTGAGTGTCATGATTGGTCTGGCCTCCGGAAAAATGGGGCTCAAACTGATGACCTCATCAGGAGGGGTCCCAGAGGAGCAGTCGTCCAGTCCACAGGGAGAGGCAAAATCTGGCAACTGGGTGGTAAGGTCAACCACGTACACATTTGTCACGCTGTTGCCGTCGTCTGTGCATGCGACGTTGAGTGCATACAGAGCGTTGCGCTGGGTGGGCATGCGCGGATTCTGGCTCAGCAGGTTGTATCCAGACAGTCCTTTAGGGGAGTCACACACCATCCTCTCACTGGTTCTGTTGGGGAACGATGAGAGCCAGCGCAGGAAATCCAGGAGCTCACAGGAGCAGCTGAAGGGGTTCGTGTAAAGTTCACAGGTGGTCAACTTGGAGAGCCCAGAGAACAAGTTACCATCCAGAACTTGGATCCTAAAGATGGACAAAAAATATGTTTGTTATGTATTAAAAATCTTAGAGGAAGAGCTTCCTGTGGGTGAACATGTTAAATTGTGTCTCGTTTCCTGCTCGTAAAGATCTCTACTGATATTCTGAGTCTCGGTTAAATATGATTCATTCAACTGTTGCTTTGGAGTAAATTTTTAAAGCTAGTATAAGTAAAATTTACCGCCGTCTCCACAACTAAACCAGTGCTGTGTGTTGTGCTGTAACATGATCATCCAGATGAACGAATGAGTACTATCTCCACATCTGCTGCTAACCGTTTTAGATTCAAACCTGTCTGGCTGACACTGCAACAGGTGATTTTAGAATGATGACAACGCCAATTCTGACATGACGACAATGCTTTGATCTGTTTGTAAAATTTGCAATGAATGTGTGATTTAGTCCTTGTGTTTTTGCACGAGCTGATTTTTGAATTTTCCTTGTCCCCGACACACAACGTCAGACTGCCAGTATCTTTTTTTAGCCAATATTGTCCACTGAGAATAATTTAAATCAATGTAGTTATTTGTGTAAAAATTAATAACATTTTTAGAAGCCTAAAATATTAATGAAAAAAATAGATGTTCACCAAATTAATGAAAATTTTATGTATTCATGCATCAAGAAATTTGATGAAATTAAAAAATGTAGAATGCAAAAGTTCATTTATGTCAGTAAGTCAACTTAAGGGTAAATTGATACATGGGGTAGACTCGTTGCATGCATAGCCAGATAATTCAAACCTTTTTTTGTTATAATTGTGATGATTATGGCTTACAGCTTATGAGAACCCCAAGGTGCCATTTGTGAGAATTATTCTGTGAAATAATCACAACACAGTGCGATGTTGTACTCTGAGTTTGGGAGGTTGCCCAACAGCAGCGAGCGAACCCAGAAGTGTAGGCATTTGTATTTGACACTGACAGGCAAAAAGCTCCAGAGTTGTTTTAAGAACCAAAGCCAGTAAACCGGAGCGACCCAGAAGTTATTTCTTGTACCCCTAAGAAGCCACGATGTCCTTTTGTTTTCCAATATCTGGTGAAGGAGGCTAGAGGCTAACGTTGAGCTAACTATGTGAACGTGATTTAGAAGCAAATAGTTGACTCAGCAAACTACCAGCCTGAGGGCAAAAAACACTTCCTGTAATGCCACAGACAGACTTCCGTAATGAATGTAGTAAGTGCTCTCTATAACAACCAAAAGTGCCAACATTAGATATGACCATGTAATTATCTACTTATCAACTCAATGTGTGTGACTCGTCTTTACCTGTCATCTAGAATCCTCTGGCGCTCATCCGTACCTGGTACGATTTTTGCATCAAAAATGGACTGTGGTACTCACATTTGACCACAGGATGTCAAACTTAAAGAAAATGGTGACAATAACTAATGCTTTGTTCAGTTGTTTTTCATGATACTTCTATATTGTAGGTTTCAAATTGAAACCTAATGTGACACTTGGATGGACAACGGAAATATTGCCAAAGATGACGGGCTCTGTGGTCGTGTGGTCATGGACAGAGTAATGGGAAATTAGGGTCATTGCTAATATATTTTCTATTTACCAATTAGAATTTATTTAATATTATATGTGCAGAATGTTTTTCCTGTTCCACAGATAAGCTACCTGTTCATGGAGAGGTCTATGTTCTCCAAATTGAGACACTCCCAGAAGGCGTTGTGTGCAACAGTCTCGATGAGATTGGCTTGCAGGTAGAGATACTGCAGCTTGCCCAGACCTCGCATCATCCCCTCTGTCAGGTTCCTCAGTTTGTTAAAGCCCATCTGGAGAACCTGGGGGAGACAAAGACAAGTGGGATTATCCTAATCTCTGAAGAGCCAGCGTGTGCCAGCCATTGCTCACTACAAGATGGAAACAAACCTAACAAACAGCTGACGGTTCAGTACAGCTAGTTTTTCACATGGTGATCTAAGCTTCTGCACTGTGCTGAATTTACCCAGATCTTTCTTGTTCACGTTTTACCTCCTGGCACCGCTCCAGCAGCTCGGGTAGACGTGTAAGCATGACAGCTCATTATGGCTGGGTTTGGTGAAACGCTGCCTGAATATTTCTGGAAGTCATGAATGAGTGGATGTTGCTGTTCTTGTGTCTGTGTTTCTATTTACATAATGCAGAAATAATCCAGATCTTCTAATTGAGTAGAAGCCGCTATAACGCATTAAAAACAATGCTTTTGATTATTATTATTCATAGCCCTTCATTTGTAATCATTCTCAAAACCATTTGGAAGAGATGGAATATATTAGTGTCATTTGCAAAAGGTGTTTAAGCCGTGTCATTTGTTTTTGATGAAAATGCACGTGATTCCAAATCATGGGGCATTTTTCATCCACTTTGCTGCATCAACTACTCATTTACAAGCATTCTGTCACCTGGAAATCGATGAGACGAAATGCATTAAGATCTACGCTTTAGTTGCCTGCAATGATTCTTTTTCCCAGAGTATGAAATCTGCGTGTTATTTGTGCTCAGGTACACCCATCCATCGTGATCCCCTTATCCGGGTTCGGGTCGCGGGAGCAACAGCCCGAGCAGAGAGGCACAGACTTCCCTATTCCCATCCACCTGGGTCAGCTCCTCTGGGGGAATTCAGAGGTGATCCCTGGCCAGCCGAGAGAAATAATCCCACAAGCATGTCCTGAGTCTTCCTTTAGGTCGTATCCTGGTTGGCTCAAAAAACCTCTCTAGAGAGGCACCTGGAAGGCATCTTAATCAGATATCTGAGCCATCTCAACCCTAACCCTAACCCCAAAATTCCACTACCTCCACTCCGGCACGAACTCCGCAGCAAAATCGGTCCCGTTGTAGTCAATCAGAGCTGTTCCACTACTGCGGCCGTGTGGCACAGTGCGCCGCCCGCTATTCCGCCATCCGGCAAAAATAGGATCGATTCTATTTTTGACGGACGCCGGAGCACCTCCGCAGTCAATGGACAGAAATCACAACCGCCCAACAGGAAAGGGAGCAAGCGCAACTTCCGTTATTTCACAATAAATCGATAAACAAAAGGCGTTTTTTGTTTCATATGCACAGGTTTAACAACTTTGAAACAACTATCAATGGCGGTTGAACTTTAAATGCACAAAAGTAAGCCATAAATACAGTTTCCACTATCAAAGTAGTCACACACTGTTGATCCAAACACTGCTGATCTCTCAACACAAATGATGGGCAGACTAAACAGTTCATTTCGATGATTCTCCCACACAACGGGTGTTTGGATCTAACTTCCGCGTTTATTGCTCGGGCTGTATCGCAAGATCTCAAAAATCCCAGGCATGCTTGTTTGCGCACCTCAGGTCTCCGCACCGGAGCGGAGCCGTTGTAGAGCGGGTACCCGTAAAAATTGAGTTCGGAAGCGAGCGGCTACGGAAGGCGGGGGCGGACCGGAGCGGAGGTAGTGGAATTTTGGGATAACCCTCTCAAATATGAAGGAGTAGCGAATCAACTCTGAGCCCCTCCCGGATGACTGATCTGTGATCTTGTTCTTTTGGTCACTACCCAAAGCTCGTGACCATAGGTGAAGGCTGGTACGTAGATAAACCGGTAAATGAAGAGCATCAGCTTCTTGCTCAGCTCTCTTCCCCATGACAGACCTGTACAACGCCCACGTACCACACCACTGTACATACATAGCACTTTTTACACTGCATTACAACTGATCAAAAGCTCTGCACATAATAAAACAACACAGGCTGAAATAGTCACTTATGTCATGAAAACTATTAAAATAAACAACAAAGTGAAACCACAGTTCACTAATCCGCAGATTTAAAATTGAACAACCGAGGCAGAAAGGATGACAAAGTTAATGATTTCTGGAGTTGAAGGCCAGGGAGAAGTCGTGTGTTTTCAGCCGTGATTTAAACGCAGGGCGCTCGCCTGACCTGAGAGGTAGTGAGTTCCACAGTTTTGGGGCACAGATAGAAAAAGCTCTTTCCTCACGGGTCTCTGCATCACTGCAGACTCAGCACCAACCCACCGATCGATCCTGCGCTCCATCCCTCCCTCACTTGTGAAGAACACGCCGAGGTACTTAAACTCCTCCACTTGAGGCAGGGCCTCATCTCTGACCTGGAGAAGGCATTCTACCTTTTTCTGACTCAAGACCATCTGAAATCCTTGATGGTAAATAATCTCACTGTGAGACAGATATCTCCTCTTTGACCAGAAGAATGCAACATTTACGATTTTCAAAAATACTTTTAGGTCATAGATCATTTTGTTTCAGTTACACTGACTCGGCAATAGATGCCTTTGATCCTAATCCACGTGGACTGAATGATGGTGGGATACTTTTAATTACACATTGGGAGTCTTTCTGCAGCATACAGTATCTGTAGCAGACAGTGATGTACAGTGGCTACAGGTGCACCTATAGAGGCAGTCATGCAACATTAATCTAGCTAATCTAAATAGCTGTAACCAACAACTATTTACCACTCAGAGACCGGACCCATTCTAAGCCTTGATGCTCCTGCTGGCTCGGCTCCGGTGACCTCAGGCAACTCACGAGCTATTGGCTAAGAAAGATACGGCTCAAGGCTGCTTATTTCCTCCAGAGAGCCTTTGTCTGTTTCCTCTGGGTAGAAGGGTAGAACAGTCGTCCACTTCTAATGACAGCTTCGGGGTAAAAAGAGCTAGCATCGCTCTCCGCCGCCATCTGGCTTCAAGTCTATGTACTATGTCGCTCACTGCCATAGCTCCGCCCTCTCAGCCCTCCAGGCATCACTTCCTTGCGGTGCATTTTTAAAAAATAGAAATGTGGGTGGAGAGACTCAGGGACTGACATTACTTCCCTTTAATTGTTTGTCTTGAATGCATCATTGCAGTTGGTCTAAAAACAACAAAAGTAGCTCTTTGTTTATCTTAAATAATATTTATTCACGGCTCATGCTGGTCTTTGTTTGTCATCGCTCACCTGCAGGTTGAATTGTGCTGAGAACGCTCCATCTTCCACGTAGCTGATATCGTTCTTGGTGAGGTTCAGATAGGTGAGGTTTCCAAAGCGACTGAGCGAGGAATAATGGACCGACCGTATCTTGTTCTCATTCAGCCTGAGATCCACAATAGTGCTGTGGAAAGATGTGATGATGTTTGGCAGAAGGGACTAAACGCTGCAGAAGATACTCGCTTTATTTGTTGTGTGGTGTCAGTTTTCTTACCTGTTCATGTGGGTGGGGATGGCTTCAAAGGGAGGCTGGTTCATACTGCAGATAGCCAGCCACACAAAGCCTTTCTCCCCTTCGATAAGCCAACAATCAGCCGCTACTGCTGGCAGCTGCAACACTGACAGCAGGACGAGCCAGTTCAGGGAAGAGCTGGCTTTTGATAAGATCCCTGATGAAGAACCTCCAGCCGCACTACGTCTCAGCTGTCCTGTTCTCTGAGCCATTTGGGAAGGCGATGCGATATCCATTGGAGAGAGCCAACCACAGATGCTTGTCATCTATCATTTATTCATATTTTACTCGAGGCTTGTTGCTTGGGCCCCTGGAACTAGACTGAGAGCCTGTTTTGCTGTGACACAGTTACAAGATGGGAAACTTTAAGGTTGGTGTTTCTTTGTTGTGTCAAAAAGAGGATTTTAGCTAATATTAAATCAGGAAAGACCCAGATTGGGACAGGGCACTTCACTGGCAGTATGTGAAACTAAACTATATCAGATCCCTAATGGAGGGTTACATTTCATGTCTAAACAGGCTATTTGAATTGGTCCTGATGTCAGATTGGCGCTCATATCTTCCGTTGCTGTCCTCTTCCTGGATTTGACGAGCACCGCTTGTCATTCTTTCTCACTTCCTGTTGCTCTGCAGCCGATTTGAGAGCTGGTCCCTGGAGGGAAAGAGAGAAAGGGAGGGGAAGAGCAGGGTTAGAAAAAGATCTCTGATGAAGCATGGGGTTACGTTTGTGAGACACAACAAAACCAACCATGTTGACAAAACTGAGGAAGCTAGTCCTATCTGTCAAATTCAGAAAGATTATTTTCACATCCAAAGACATTATTTAAAAGTTATAATCAGTCTGCAGAAATGTAGCGAGCACCTGCAGATCTCAAAGACTTGTTATTGCTGTAGACTCCCATATTTTCTGCTGCTTCATCAGCCCCAGGGTCTCCATACGCCTGGGCTGAGTGGTCTGAATCTGTATCTAATTCATTTTTATGCTCTGAATAAGAAATCTTTTTAAAAGCGAAGAACAAAACAAAAGCAGCTGATATACAGTGGATCAAAGGGAGACTTGCAGCGAGCCTCCTTCAGAAAGAAAGTGCTCTCAGGAAGAAGATGGATGTTACAAAAAGAGAGGAATAAGGCTGTCGTCATTGACAGAGGCAGCAGCTCAGCGAGGCGAGGAGGATGCTGGGAAGAGAAAAGGATGTTAGGCTCACGTCGGTCTGTTTGAGGAATTTGCTGCCTCTTTGAAAAGCCTCTCCCTCGTTGTGAGAGGAACAAACAGGAAGTGACGCTCATACAGATAAAGAAAAAGTAGAGAATCTTTGTTGGCTGTTGTTCTCATCGCATTGATTGCAGTTGAAAAGCGAGGCAGAGCGGTGCTGATGCACCACCTCGGATCCGACATGGAGGACAGATGAAATCAATAGTTTTTCAGATTGGGTCAAAGATCTTTTTATTTTTGTCTTTTCAGTTGAGCTGAAGTCCTGTGGCCCACGTAACTTGGCATTAGCCATTGCTGAAGTTTTTACTTGTAAAGTAATTTGGATTTACTGTCTACCTGGTGCAGCAACGTCAGGAAATATAATTCAAGAGCCAGTTAGTGGGTCTCTAAGTGAAGAAGCAGTGGTTTGAGACGAGTACCGACTTGGACCTGGAGCATGAATGTTTTTATCAACCGTTTAAACATATTTAGATTTTTGTGTGTAAAAAGTAGTGACACAAATAATTCATAACAGTAAAAAAAACCTCTGGGAAATGTTACTGTGAATATTGAATAACTGTTTAAGCATAAAAGTTAGAATTTTGTTTCTGTCGATTCATTTTGTTGACCTCTCAGCGCTATGTCTGTCTTTTGAACTGGTAAATGTGGTTTGTCTATCTTTGTCATGCGTCTTTGCCTACAGTGGTGTGAAAAACTATTTGCCCCCTTCCTGATTTCTTATTCTTTTGCATGTTTGTCACACAAAACGTTTCTGATCATCAAACACATCTAACCATTAGTCAAAGATAACACAAGCAAACACAAAATACAGTTTTGAAATGATGGTTTTTATTATTTAGGGAGAGAACAAAATCCAAACCTACATTGCCCTGTGTGAAAAAGTAATTGCCCCCCTTGTTAAAAAATAACCCAACTGTGGTGTTTCACACCTGAGTTCAATTTCTGTAGCCACCCCCAAGCCTGATTACTGCCACACCTGTTTCAATCAAGAAATCACTTAAATATGAGCTGCCTGACACCAGGGGCGGATTTAGCAATTTGGGGGCCCAAGGCGAACACAGACATGGGGCCCCTTACACTAAATTTTCGACAATCTTACCTTTAACTGGATTTGCGAAACTCTCCCCTCTTCTGACATGAGTTATTTTCCCTTTTTATTAGTCCTCCTCTTTTTTTCCTGTATTTCCCGCCCTTTGAGTGCTTTCAATATTTGCTCTGCTTTCTTTTTTCTGTCAGCGCTCCTGTGCTTTAGCCTTAGTTATTTTTTTTTCTATTTTCCATTTTGGTCTGTTTTCCTCCCTTTAAACATTTTCCATTGTCTTTCCTTTCTGCTTCCTTTTGGTGTTTACATCGAAAAACGACTTCACTTTCAGAAGTGAAGATAAAAGCTTTTATGAAGCATGCTGCTTCTTTCTCTTATTGGAGCCACTAGGATAACTCCATTTCATGCTTAATGTTTTGACTATCGCTTTGAGTTTGTTCCGAATGCTCCCGCCTCTCTTCTTATTCTTATTTGTGGTCTTATGGCACTTGGCAAACAACAATTTGGTGCATTACTGCCACCAACTGGATTGGAGTGGAATGACTACCAATCACTTCCTGTTTGTGCATCACAGTCTTAATAACCCTCTTATGACCATAATTATAACAGGGCCGCCTGTTTTTTTTTATCTTATGGCTGTAAAATTGTAATAAAAAGTGCAAAGTGTGTGTAACTCTTCTCCTTTTTTCAGAACAACCTCAGCTTTCAGTGTATGGTTTGTATTTCCAAACCACTATAACATTTCACGAAAAGAAATGTGAGGCCACTTCTCCTCCAGCTCCACTGGCTGCCAGTCAACTTTAGGGTTCATTTCTTAATCCTGGTTCTGGTCTATAGGGCCTTACATGGACAAGCACCATCTTACATTGGTGATCTTCTTAGTCCCTACACCCCCAGCAGGTCCCTGAGGTCCAGTGATCAAAGCCTAATGGTTGTGCAGCACCAGGCTAAAGACCAAAGGTGACAGATCATTTGCTGCTGTGGCACCCAGACTCTGGAACTCTCTTCCCCTGAGCCTGAGATCAGTGGACTCAGTGGTCTCCTTTAAAAAGCAGCTGAAGACTCACTTGTTCAAGCTGGCTTTTGTATGACCTTCTTCACCTCTCTCTTTATTCTGCTCTCCCCACCTGTTCCACCTTCCTCACTGATTTCCCTCTTTCCTATTCACTCTCTCTCTTTCTTAACATTTTTTCTTTTAAGTCCCAATTGCCTATTTTTGCTCATTTTAAATATATTTTTAAACATTTTCTAAATGCTTTTTTATATTGATATTTTTGTTTTTGTGAAGCGCCTCGTGATTTTTATCTTGACAGGCGCTATAGAAATGATATTTTCTTCTTCTTCTATTTAGAATGTATTTCTATTAAAGCCTTTAAAAAATCAGCTGAAAAGTGAAAAAAGCAAAAAACGGATTTGAATTTTTTACAGTTATTACTGAAAAGGAACTTCAAAATGACTGGGCAAACAATTTAAACTTTGAACTGAAATGCATCTATTCTTAAAAAAGTTTGAACCTTGGTGTCTTGTAGCAGTTTTTAAGACTTTATTTTTGTAAACTTTCAGACATTTTTATTTGATGTGGTAGGCATTGAAGCAGCTTCTCTCCAGCTGCAGGCAGAGTCCTGCACACCTCACACTGCCATGGGGTGCTTCTCTGGCACACCGTGCACTGCTATACCAAAAACATTTGTTTTAGCAAAAATAATGTTTTATTGTAAAAAGATAAATAATGCTGGAATGAAGCAGAATCTTACAATCAGCAAATAGTTGAGGGTTGTTCAAAAAAAAAAAAGACTGAACAAACGTTCATATCCTGGTTCACTGGAGATCTGTCCTTCTTCATGGTCACTGTCTTCAGATATAAGCCTTCTGGGACACCTAACAGATCGTGTTGATTTTCTTTGAGGCATTTCCATAATTTCATGCTGGCTTTTTATGCTAATTAGCTTCCCCGTTCCGTTATCCACTTCCACCACGGCGCTGCGCTCCGTTTCAATCAGGCTGAACAGCAGGATTTCCCCTCGTAGCGATATTTTCCATAACTCTGATTGCTTCATGCTATAGATCATTGGAAAGCTGCTTTTATGTACTTTTAGGAACCGTTTGAATTTCCTGGATCTGATCAGCCATTCAAAAGTTATAAAACGGAGCATTTTGGATGACAAACTCAGCACGTCTCTGAATCTGTGTTGTGATTCGTTGCGCTCAGGACAGGGACTCCCAGTGGCTACCATAATGTATTGTATATGCACGAAAAGCCCCATTTTTAATCTTTTCAGCACTTTTGGAATTTTAATGATATCTTGAACGGTTCAGGAATTATGGTAATGAGAAACATGTCCAATCCCGTCTGCGGCCACAGGTTGGTAATAAGAATATTGTGGCATTAACAGAGGGGTGCTGGCGGTCAGGGCTAGGGGGCCCCCCAACACAAGGGGGCCCCAGGCGGCTGCCTACCTATGCCTAATGGTAAAACCGCCTCTGCCTGACACAGAAGTAGACCAAAATCACCTCAAAAGCTAGACATCATGCCAAGATCCAAAGAAATTCAAGAACAAATTAGAACAAAAGTAATTCGGATCTATCAGTCTGGTAAAGGCTATAAAGCCATTTCTAAAGCGTTGGGACTCCAGCAAACCACAGTGAGAGCCATTATCCACAAATGGAAACAACATGGAACAGTGGTGAACCTTCCCAGGAGTGGGCGGCCGACCCAAATTACCCCAAGAGCGCAGAGACATCTCATCCGAGAGGTCACAAAAGACCCCAGGACAACTTCTAAAGTACTGCAGGCCTCACTTGCCTCAATTAAGGTCAAAGTTCACGACTCCACCATAAGAAAGAGACTGGGCAAAAATGGACGCAAACCACTGTTAAGCAAAAAGAACATTAGGGCTCGTCTCAATTTTGCTAAGATACATCTCAATGATTGCTAAGACTTTTGGGAAAATACCTTGTGGACTGATGAGACAACAGTTGAACTTTTTGGAAGGCAAATGTCCCGTTACATCTGGCGTAGAAGTAACACAGCATTTCAGACAAAGAACATCATACCAACAGTAAAATATGGTGGTGGCAGTGTGATGGTCTGGGGTTGTTTTGCTGCTTCAGGAACTGGAAGGCTTGCTGTGATAAATGGAACCATGAATTCTACTGTCTACCAAAACATCCTGAAGGAGAATGTCCGGCCATCTGTTCGTCAACTAAAGCTGACGCCATCTTGGGTGCTGCAGCAGGACAATGACCCAAAACACACCAGCAAACCCACCTCTGAATGGCTGAAGAACAACAAAATGAAGACTTTGGAGTGGCCTAGTCAAAGTCCTGACCTGAATCCTACTGAGATGCTATGGCATGACCTTAAAAAGGCGGTTCATGCTAGAAAACCCTCAAATAA